AAAAGAATAAGCACCAGAAGAAGTAAAACAAAAGCACAACAATAAAGAAAAAATGACTCATATTAAAAATTTGTGAGTAATTGGCGTTCTTGATTTCGTATGGTTGTATAGTTGTAAATATGTCAAAGGAATACAGTTGGTTGTTGACGGAGTCGAATCCGTTTTTGTAGAAAAATGCTACTTTTTACCAAACAGAAGGTGTCACTTCTACCCAGGTCAAAAATCGGCAATCGGATTCTATCGGATGCGTTTCAATCCGATGAATTCCGATGACTGCATCCGACATGATTCCGATTGTCGGACCCTATAGGATTCTGTTATCGTAGTCCAGTCGGTTCCCTCCGTTTCCGGCATCTGAGAACTCAGATTTTTTTTTAAGGAGCAGTCGAAAGTGTCTTAACTTTTTGTAAGTATTGTATATAATTGTAATTATTTTCGTGTGCTACAAAACAAAAACTCTCTAAGGTCAATTCAGTCTTTAGAGGCGTTAGTTCTATGAAAGAGTAAATTGAACTAAATTCCGATTATCCAAGCGGCACTAGTCAATTTTATACGAAACTGCTTCATCCTAAATTCACGAACTCTCTCATTGAAGAACGAAAACAACAAAAGTAAAAGACAGACACTGTCGACAATAATCGCTTTAAATGGCAATAGCATTTCATAAAATACTATTATTCTGCTTTCCTTTTATCCATGACGAAAGGCACTATTTTCTGATTAATTGAAACGCATTAGGAGTGTTATGTATTCTTTTATTAACATTGACTTCTAAGAACATAACGTGCTTGTACTGAAAAAGAAAGGTTAAACGGTATTTTACTATACTTTAAAATGTTTTGTTCGCAAAAACGAAACGTTAAAAGAGTTTAGTATCATGCAGACTTTCGTGTGAAACCTTTTCGGGTGTGGAAAAGTGCAAAGATTTCGTAAAATACTCTTCCAATTTCATTTCAAAACGTGAGCATTAAAGTAGAAACACTTGCCTGAACTTCATTTCTTATATCATTAATTGTTTCACTGCTAATCATATTCCACGTTGAGCAAAATATTTCCAATTAACAGTAGTCATAACAAATCGAAATGATTGAAGCACTTAAGATTATCAAAAACAACGTACCGCACTGTAAGTTCTAGTCGCAATAAAACCTTGTCATGCACGTTTTCTGTTGAGGAGCCCAAATAATTACATTCGCTTCAGCGAAGGAGTTAAACACAGTTACGAGAATACTTTGGGCGTTGGACTAGGACACAAGTGTTAAGCTACGGGCATAGATATGGAAAATGCGATAGATTAAGTTTAAGTGGATACTTTAGGCGGACAGATTAAGGTTAATGGGTTAAGTTACGGGATAGATATAGTTTAAGGGTTAAGGTAGTGGATAGATTAAGTTTAAGGGTTATGGTTAAGCGGTTAAGTTAGGGGATCGATTTATCCGTTCAAATCGTGCAAGCGCAGGTTGAGTGCATTATAACTGTGACGAAATTTCAGCTACGAAGCCAATTTGAATGTGAATTAAAGATGGTTGAATATGGAATCATATTTTTAGGAAACCTGAGAATAGTTTCTGTTTCGTTGCAAGTCTGTGAATCTTGATTAAGTTCCGTATGGACTTTTTTCAGTGCAGATAACTCGTAGAACCTTGTTAAAAATCCGATTTGATCCTGTCGGTTCCCTTTATTTTTATTACATGATTCGAGGCGATCCAGTCGGATCCATTTATCGGAGCTGAGCAAATTCAACGAGATCCTTTCCCAGTCATATGTTCGTCGGATTCCGAGTCACTGGATTATGGGCTCCTTCCGACATAATTCGACGTATGATCGTGTCGGATCCGACAAGACTCATTGATCGGAACTCTCGACTTGGGTAGAGATTGAAGTTTGCATCTTCCAGCTTACATTCTTCTTAATTTACGGAAATTCAACAAACATATATCTGCAGGTTTCGCTTAGCAAAATAATCATTTTCCTCACTGTTCAATTTCATGTATTGATCAAAGTATTTTTACTGGTGCTTTCCTATCAAGTATACATTCACTATGTCTTATAAGCATTTCTTTGTCATGTTGCTGAATAAAGTGTTCATTCGAGATTTTTTTCTTGGCCAGAAATTTCATACTTCGTGGTTATTTGTTCTTTGCTGACTTCTTCCGACCAAATGAAACAAAAATAATTAATGTTGTCAAAATTCGTACGAGCAAACTTCGACAACAAGTATTTTGATCCTTTTAAGAATGTACTTTTCACATGTGAGGTTGATTGTGGATGCGTGAATCTGGTGGAGTGCAGAACAACAGACACACCTCACACCCATATTTGTATTCTTTCTATTTTGCGTATAAAAGCTAACCGGCTATTCTTACACCTGGCGACGTTTATTGCTTTGTTTTAGCTGTGACGGGTTCAGATAACAATCGAATTGGTTGTGAGGACTCTCGTTTGTTTTATTTTAAAAATAACGTGACTTCTATGAAACGAAATATTAGGGGATGACGTTCATATAGGTGAGACGAGAGTTCACGTATGGAAAACAGCGGACCTGGCTGTAAAGAAATAATAAATATGGGAGGATAAGTTCAATAATAGTTTATTATTAATATATGTATTTGTATAATATATAATTATGTATTAACGACGATATAATAAATAATAATAATAATAACAGAAAAGATAGGAGGATGTTGTATGTCGATCGAGAAGAAAAAAGCACCTGACTTTTAAACAAAAAGAAACTACGCAATAGATACTCAATCACGTAAATCAATTATATCTGACAAATGACGTAACAGATCCAACGAGATTGAGAAACATCAACATATTTATAAATAGCTTAGCGTCAGTTAGCGACATGTACTGACGCTAACATGGCCACAACTTCCGAGTCAACACGCTTCATACGATGATTATATGTATTTTTATGACCAATATTTTGACACAAAAGAATTTAAATAATATAAGACATTGAAATCAATACAAAACAAAGGAAAACAACGTCGTCGTTAGCATTTGAATGGTGTATGTTTCATATGGTGAGTACCCGTACTTCGTCATATACTGAAGGATACTCGTATATGGTACCCGTTTATGTTGAGCTGTTAAATAATATTTCAACCATTGAAATTTAGACCTGTAATTTCAAGCAGATGAATTTTTAAATTCTAAACTATCCTGAAAAGGTTAGTAACAAGTTGTTCCATGAGTTCCCTAACTCTCGAGTTCGGATATAAATGAAAAGTTGACCGCATGGCATCAATTCAAAGGGTGTGAGTGTAGATATCTGCAATCATGTATTTTAAATATCTGAAAGAAAAACTAAAAATGAAGGAAGTGGCTATGTACACTCAGGTGCATATAGCCAATTCCAAAAATGAAATATTTTGCTGCCTACATGGGAAAAGGACGACGTATACATTTGAAGTCGTGACAGATATCTCACTTAGACTTGAATTAAATCTAAATATATTCCTATTTATATGAGGGAGAGTATATATAGATACGTGCAGGATGTCCAAAAACTCAAACTACACTCCAAAAACCATGGACTTCCTCACCATCGTTTGACTAAATGAGCTGATTATTTTACCACTGATATAGGAGTATTTCCAGTTCATATTTACAAGAGGAATATATTCATAAGTTGTTTTCAAGTATTTATAACTGGCTTTAGCAAAAAACTTAATTGTTGACGAGTTATTTAAAAAAAAGATTTGCTCCCTTAGCTGAGAATAAACGATATCAATTTTTTTCAATCGGTGTCGTTTGTTATCATACTTATACTATAGTTATATGTCTTGTTACTCCATGAGATGCCTAGTTCGAATTCGAATATAAATGGACACCCAACTGCATGGTGTCAATTCGAAAATAGGTGACAGAAATAGATTTAGTTTTAGATGGAATGGGTGTGAGTTGAGGGGGACTAAGGGAAAACTGTGGGTGGCAGTGCGAGTGACGGGGGAGAGGCGGTACCCGGGGTACTTCAAATGTGGTTGTGGGTGATGGGTACCATGGAAGAGTACTTAAATGTGGGTGCGAGTACCCGGGGTGGTGCCTGGGTTGTATACCTTACTAAAACTAAATCTACCTAGAGTTAGTTTTAGTTTAACTTTTTCTTTTCTCCATTTATATTCGAACCCAAATTAGACAGCTACTCTGTTACTCAGTGTATCTTGAAAGTTTCAACTGTAAAGGGTAAAAATTTATTGACAAAACTGCCTATATGTTAAACTTGAAAATTGAATTCAAGTCAAGTTTCAAGTTTGTCACTACTACGATATTGAAGAATTTTAAAACGGAGTTAAGCCGTATACTTGTTATAGGATGTCATAAAAATCTCATACAACGTTGCGGTAACTGGTACAAGCGTTCAAGAAGAAACTCGAACGATCACAGGCAAACGAATATCTTGGAAGCGTCTATTTCACAAATTCCATTTAACAAGAGATGTATGCCCATACGGTATTCTTTATTTTCGTACGATTGGTCTGCATGGACCTGCTTTCTTTGGAGCTAGTCCAGATGGAGCCGCTATTTTTTATTATGAAAATAGACACTGGAATCCATGTGAATCAGCACGAAATACTTGTTTCTATTATAGAAATGGCACTAATTTACTAATGCCACTACCAAAAGCAGATGTGGCCATTTCAAGTGACGAAGATGATGTGTCAGTCGAAGATACGGATGGAAGTCTGAATGGTCCAGATCAAGCTGGAAATGAAGCAAGAGATCGACGTGATTCAAATGGGAGTGGGAATGGCTTGATCAGAAGGGCGTTGCTTCCCTATGTTTTCTATAAAATATTTTCAAAGAATATGCCATTTCCAATGGCACAATAGGTTACAGTAAAGCCCTTATACTGTAGTTGAAAATATGTTAACGCAATTGCTTGTTCAACACTAAGAAGAAAAGAAGATATTTTTTACTGGCCGTTACCTATTTTCCTATTACTTTTTGTTGTGCGCGTGAGTGTGAAGTGAGAGTTAAATAAATAAACGAATTAAAAAGTGGTGACGCAAAAATAGAAGAAAACATATATAAATAAATAAATAAATAAATAAATAATGTTATTTTTGTTAATTTTTGTGCTTTAAAATTATTACAGAGTTTTTTGTATGTTTTTCAAATGAAAATGGGACAATAATTTTATTTAGATTGAATTTAAGGAAAAGGAAAAAATGAGGCACCCTTTTTGAAAATATTTTAATGAGACAAATATACTGCTTTCTATTAGAACTGTGAGTGCATAAATGTGTAAATAATAAATTTAAGAATAAATGATTTGTTTTGGTTTGTGAGAGAAAATAAATAAATTAGTGAAATGTGTTTATATGAAATAAATGAGTTTGTTTTACGAGTATTGAAACAGAAAAATTTAGAGTTTTTTGGTAAGAAAAATAAAACTATATCGATTAAATGAAAGAGAGCAAATTTGTTTTTAATGAATTTATAATATAATTTCCAATTTTTAATGTAACTTTTTTTTTAATTTTAACAAAAAATAAATGAATTTAGAGCAGTAAAATTGTAATAAGCGACGGGTTTCGAATTTTCTTCAGGCTATATTGACTAACTAAGATGGCTACTGTTCTATACATCCACTGTCGTTGATTTCCTCTGGTCCACTAACATTATTCCTTTCGTTCGAGGAAAACTATGCTCATCGCGACTAAATATACCATCGACTATTACTCCTATTTTTCAATGAGGGTATATCGAGGGTGCGGGTGTGAAGGAAGTACTCAACTCAGGGTTGCTCAATCCCTAGCACAAAAAATCAAGCAAATAATGCAGTGTGAGGTTCTCGTTCGTGATGTATCCAATGACTTTCACCTTCATTATACACGTAGATTATATTGACGTTTGAGCGGACACTAGTCTGTTCACTATTGAGAGAATCGCAATAAATAGCCTACCGTGACCTACTGTATATGAGATTGTTATTAGGATTATATTAATTAATAATAATAATCAGTAACAGATAATCTGTTGATAATTTGTAATAAGCAGAAGAAGGAAGAAGTATACCAAGGGTGTGGGTGACTGTATTTTTACTCAACCACACCCACACCCTGACTTCCAAAATTAACCGATTAAACGACGAGTATTTTTCGGTCAAACAAATTATATCCTTGCTTCTTATATTGACCAGGGAATGATTAGTCCAGAATATTCGTATATCACCTTTATAAGAAACAGCTTTAAGATAATTGGTTAGATATCCAAGATCGGCCCAACTACAAGTGATTTGTTTTTGTTGGTGAATGTTATCAGAAATCTCTGTCACTACTGCTTCCGCTGAGGGATGCAAGTGTGACTGCGTCGTTTTGTTCTGAACTATTCTTTACTCCATATATGTGTTCATAATTTTTTCATCGAAACAATGTTCTCGTGATTTATCTTTCAAACAGATCATAACCGTTCTTGACCCATTGTCTTGAATTCTACTCGAAAACAACAACGTCGAATTTCACTATTTGAAATTTATTGGATGGGAAATGAATGACGCACAGAACTTGACTGCAATACGTTTTTTTCCTCAGAAAAGAGTGGCATCGAGACTATAAACATTTTTGGTGAACCACGTCGTGACAGTTCCAATAAAAAATTTTATTCCAACATATTTTTCGTATATTTTCGTCTGATCTGTACGTCTACGTTTTTTTAAGAAGCCCCGAGCTGATTATGAATCGACTCAGTAGAGCGATCAGATCATTAAAATTTGATTTACATATGTGAAAAACAGAAGTTCTTTCTAAAAGTAGTGCTATTAAATAGATAGTTTTCGCTCGCTAACGGTTTCAAGAACATATTCTAAGAAATCCCTCGTAAAGAGTTCTAAAATAATTTGATATCTTCCTGAAGCGAAAATGGTATCGTTCCCGTATGCTATGCGATCTTGATGGCATTACATATACGTTATAGATCGACTAAAATGACATGTAATTCCATAACGGAATGTGATTTCGTTGAAACTGTATTCAGCTAATTTTTTGAAAAACTTGGAATAAGAAAGCCACAGTAGGGATTTTTTCTAATGGGAAGAGTGCGGTGCTCGAAGAATGGCATTAAAATGAGAGCAAGAAAAAAGGTCGATCATATGAAAATAGCGAAGAATATATTCTCCCATAATTTTTTATTTTATTTTAAAAATCAGTAAGTGATATTTTATTCATTCGTTTTCTTGTGTTATCTATTTTCACTGACTAGCGCTTTTCATCAATAGTGTATCATCGTATAATCTAGCTGAAAGAATGACCGCGAAGAAAAAAAAAGTATATAAATAGAATAAAGATTTACCATATCCTGTTTTTTTAATTACATATCACTTGCTGTTAATTTAGTATAATTTTTGCAGGCATCTAATACCAGCAGCGTCTCTTTTATCATCACTAATAAAGATAATCCTCTGCTAGTTTTAAATGATTTTGCATATCGAGTAAAAAATGAAACGGTATTAAAAAAAATATTGGATTTGCGAAAGAAATGGATACAATATGTATATACATATACGAATATACAGAAAGCTTTTTTGAAATCAATGTTGATCAATTATTAGATGTCTTCTCACTCATCATAGTCAAACGAAAGAAATAAACTTTTACATAAGGAAATATTTTCTTTCTACTAATTTTATAACTAATTATGCTGCATTCATTTCAGTTTTTGACGAACTTAAAATTTGATCAGAAAATAAAAAATCTTCATCTTAGCAGTCTGAAAATATTAAAATAATTTTTTTCGGCATTTTTGTTTCGCTACAAATGATTTTGCTATTTTTTCCTTCGACATTCTATTTTCGACATTATTTCTTTAGCTCTTTTTTATTCACTCATTTTCACACATACCTACTCGAATGACGCGGGACTGGTTTGGTTTACCTAATTCGTAGTTTCACCAGCATATGCAGGAGTTATTTTTCACAAATAGAAGGCAGTCAGAAAACTTCGCAGTCAAACGTGCACTCACTATTTTCGTCGAAACATACGTGAGTTCCACAAAAATAACGCTACCTTTGTTTATCTTTTGAAAGTGCACGGACAAGTCCCATCAGAGCCTCAAATCCTAGTTATACAGCTACTATCTACGGTATCATGTTGTTTTTGAGAGTACGATGATATTGCCTCTATCGTGCACTTTCAGGATTGAGCTAAGCGAGGCTCATGGAGCCGACGCGTTACTCGTTTTTATTATTGTGTTACAATACCTTTTGACTATATGAAAGAACTTGTTATTTTTTATCTTCATGAAAATCAATTAAATTGTTGAAACTGAAATTATACATCAATTTGAAAAATCAGAAATATCACTTGGCCTACAGACCAGGCCAGCCCTGGCCAAGAAGCCAGCCAGTCCACAGCGTTCTGGCCCAGTGTTTCCAATGGCAAGTGTACACAGCAGAAGCAAAATGTACAGAATATCTGCTAGTTTTGATTTACACTCTGCTGTAACTTGCCCAGAAAAACAAAGTGTACAATGTACACTTTGCTAAAATAGTTTACACTCTGATTCCTTTGGTCTCTGAACCTTAACATATTTAGCTTCGGAAGCACGAAAATAGGATTAGAATGTTTTTTTAAATATTATATTGAGCATAGATAACAATAATATTTCATTTCATGTTAATGTTTTTTTTATTGAAGTACATACATTAGATTAAAAAGTATTGATTTTATACTGAGATCAAACATCATCTATTGATTCTACATAGTGAAATATATTGGACTTGGTCCGTTTGAAGTAATTAAGTGAAGTCAATCTATCGTGCCTAAAGTTCTCAGTAAAATCATAATAATTCACAATAATAATTTTTGGTTACTCTAATATAATATTCCGTTGAATAGAATCAAAAATTATAGTATCATACTGTTACAATGAAAATGTTAAACTAGAAAACATCACCAATGAATGTATCCGTACAGATGGGTTCTAACAAATTGATGCAGACCAATTTAGAGAACGCATCTGTGACGGTCAATATTATGGTCGAATATCAATTTCTTGAAACTTTACATCTAATCGTTGAGAACTGATCCGCATATATTTTGTTTCCTTATCTTCTGTTTCACATCTATCTGAATTTTTCATTATATTCAGTTTTTCTCTTATTTCTTTTATTGATACTATCTTTATTTTGTTTTAAGAATGCCCAAGACCTTATCATGTTGTGGATTCCAATGGCCGATGTGTTTGGCACTGTGATATAGGAACTAAACCACACAAGACAACTAATGAATGCGTCTGTCAAGTTCAACATTGTCAAACAGACACTGGCCGAATCGGAAGAAGAATTTGTGCCAGTGAGTATTAATTTAGCGCCATTCACCACTGAAATTTTGAGACCAGCCGACAACAGGTTGTTTCAGTTCTTATTTCACGTTGTATGATACTATAAACTAGTAGTTTTATAACATTGTCCTCGCAGAAAATGAAGAAAACATTACTACATTCTTTCTCTATCTTGATTGCTAGTATCTGTTCTTTTGAAGTTTGTCTGAAATCATATCATATTCTAACATCAGATGGTCGTTGTGTTTGAAGTTGTGATGTAGGTGCACAACCGAGTAACACAAATATTGAATGTATCTGCCAAAGTGGGTATTAGCAAACCGGTATTGATCAATTTGAAAGAAGAATCAATCGCAGGTTTATCAAAATTAATAAAAAATACTTCGGGAATTTTAGAGTTTTTATTAACATGTTTTGTAATTTTCATGAATTGTGTGCGAGTTTTATTATATCAATAATAATAAACTTATTCCAGTGTTCTTCAACACAATAAGATGGTAAACTTGAATTTGGTCGAAAGTAAGAATGTCGAAAATACGAACATTGAAATAAAACTTTGTAAAAAAAGGGAATTTTAAATGAAGACTGTTTGGAAAATTATGACCCATCTATCACACTATTGTTCATTCAGTACAAAGAAATGGACAAAGAAGAATACGAATACGAATCTTCAATCATTCATTATTCGAGAAACAGAATAAGAGTGAGAGCCCCCTCTGATTCAATATCTATCATCAACGATGATTGATATTTTATTAATTCGAATAAAGAAGGTATAAACTTGAATAATCATCTGGCGCACCGAAGCCGAAAGACACAAGAACAACATCATTACAAAGTCAAATAAAGACGTTGTATGATATATATATATATATATATATATAGCAACTATCTCATTACAGCATGTAAACTTCTTGAAAGTTTGTCTTTAATGGTGATAAAAAAGAAGTTTTAATCAAGCAGATAGAACATTGTTTAAAGATGGATTAGCAATCATTCCCAAAAACGTTTTAGGCTGCCTGTTAGTCTTCTTTTAATAATAAACGCTGTGTTTTAATTAAGTCTACTGGCTGATTCATTTTCACAAAGAAAAAAAATGTATGGATGTACCACCTCAGTTTCGACAATTTTACTTTCGATCAAATATCAAGTTAATCAATAAGATATCAACTGCAACCAAAAGAAAGCATGAAAAGACAGATTAATAATTTAACACAGCGACAGAATTCATCAGTTTTGTTGACGTGAAAATTTGAATACGAGGATATAGAAATTGCATTGTAAGCTTTGATAAATCGAGGGAAAGAAAAATCAAAGATTAAATTGGTCTTAACGGCAGCAAAAGTTATTGTTTGGAAAGAAACAACAATTTTCTTGGAATTTTTATCGATTAGTATTTGTGTTATTCAACAAAAAAATGTGCTATTTTTTGCACCCTTTGATACCCCTCATCAAAAGCACTATCTATTGAATTGTACTAATGCTGGATGAATCTGAATAGATTCTATGCGTAAAATTCATCATATCGTATCATTCGATCATTTTAAGTAAATTCAGAATTTTCTAGAAATTTCCAGAGCGTATTCTTATAAGACAAAAAGCAGCTGTTCTGCTCGATTAGATCTCAACCAGGGTATCAAGGGCTATCGTTTAGATATAATTTCTAGCATCCTTATAACAAAATAGTGGGAGCTACATATAGGGAAATGTAAGATCTATATACCATGATTGTCTCCGAAAGAGCGCACTCATTTACGCTTATTTTACTACTATAATTAGATGTTGGTAAAAGAAAAAAGAACTGAAAGCTGCCAGTCAAAACTTCTACACGCAATCAAAATATTCATTTGGCATATCACGAAAAAAACTGTATGCATTAGTATTTATTTAAATTTGTCTTCATACGTACTAAAATTAAAATCATTCCTCTTGAAACCACAAATCCATTCTAGAGAATTCTAATTTTGGCAAGCCAAAACTCTGAATCGATGCATGAGCTGTGGTGATATTTTGTAAGTGTCAAATATAATACTTCCCTAAGGGAACCAGAAACGTGGCTTACTCTTTTGTTTTTATCATTACAAGTGTGCACAGTGATTAGGGCACTGTGTTGAAACGATTTGGCCGAAGTTGATTCACAAACTATGTCTGATTCAATCAAATAAAAGTATCAGGTGAGAAAAATTACCAACATAGTTTTCCTTTAGTGACGATGATGATTATTTTCAAAATACAACAAAAAAAAAACAAGTTTTGTCTTAGGAAAGAATATAGAAAGAGATAGCTTTTCTTTTTAAATCATATTTACTTATATCATCTATTTTAAGTTCAGTAGATTGAACAATAGTCTCTCGATTAGCTTGACGAATATTATCGCATATGAATACAATGCTATCACATATTTTTGGTGAATCATCTGCTTGAATGCGTTTTTTTTTTGTTAGAATAATTTGTTTTTGGCGAAAATAACAATAAAAAAAAAGAAAAATGCAGTTTTGTCGTTGATATTGTAATAAAATAATAATAATAGACAAGAAAAAAAATATGATCATCATTCTTCATATAGTCCCATACAAATGAAAAGTTGATTCGATTCGCTCAAATGAATTTTGTGATTTGAATCCAGTGCACAAGCATTAATGTTGTTATTCATTAGAGAAAATGGTAACAAAACGAAGCACAATGATACACATCATTGATTTTTAGATTTATTCAACATGTACAAGCTCAAGGTTCTTTTTCGTAGTGATTAGATAAATCTAGGGAAGAAAAAAAAACGTTACTTACTTTTCGAATATTGATGTTAAGGTAAGATTTGTTAAAAGCTTATAAGGAGACAAACATTTTTGAGTGAAAATACAGCTAGATTACATCAGTCGGACACCGAAACTAATTCATGGATTATTTCGTCGAATATGTATTCTATTCAAAACGGACATTTTTTTCTTCTTCTATACTTCAGACACGTTATCCCCGTGCAATCGATATTAAACACTCGTATAGAATATGGCACATTTATTCATTGCAATTGGAAAAAAAACGAAAAATATTATAAATTAGTAAACATGCTTTGATTATTGTATGACAGTCTCTTTTCTCTATTACAGTAGGTCAAATTATTAAAGATGTCCTTTTTCTTTACCTTTTCAAACAAAAATTACTTTCATACGGTATACTATTGCTTGTTTTTTTTTTATAAAAATAAGGTGACTTTTTTTTCCGAACTATTTACAGATGAATTGATCAGTTTAGCAGTTTATTGAAATCAAATTAACAGAAATATATAGTGATATAGAAATAAGTACTAGTAGTCAAAGATAGTATCGGAGGTGAAATTTCGAAATTTTCAATTTTATGCATGATTTTCATTCTTATTTATCTGTTTAAATATATTTTTTAATCAAAAATCGTCCTTCAAATATCCTAACGCATAGAGCTATAACATTTAACACATCTTTATAATTATTTTTAAAAGATAACTATGTACTATTTAACACGATTTTCTACTTAGCACCTAATGATTACATGCAACTAGTGTCTTGTTTTTCCTGTATATTTTCTGAGCATGTCAAGTTCTTGTATTATTGGAATTATAAAGTACCACTTGGCTATCATTCTACATAGTAGAAATAAAAGAAAACAACATTAAATCTAACAGATATTTTTCCTCAACAAAAAAATCATACTTTGGAATAAAAATTTCGGTAAAAAATGTCCTATACCTGTTTGATGTTAATAGATAATTCAATAGAAATAATTTCAGTTTCTTTTTAAAAATATTTGCCTTGAAGTTTATTATTTGACATTACAGTGATACATTATGTAACAACATTCTGTTATTCTCTTTAACAAAAGTTGGCAGATAGGTTATTGTCGTCGACATATATTAGTACAAATCATGAATAAGACAAATGAGAATCAATGAAGCGAATCCTAACGAGCTATGAAGCCGCCGAAACAGAGCTGCTGCATTCGATTTTTTTTCTCGTTCTTTGTACACCTTGATTAAAAACACATATTCAGGTGACTATAACCGAAATGATACGCTTCTGCAGAAGCAATAAATGTGACTGCATATTAGATCATGTTATTCACAAAGCTCTATATAAAAACATTGCTTTTGCGTAGATTTTGCATTATAGTTTTGATTTATCGATTTAAGGTTGTTTATTTCTTTCGCAACATACATTTTGCCGTCGCCTTCTCTCTTCTGACTCTTATTATCGAACTACACGGAAAGCTTCATTAATATCGCTATTCTTACTTAACCTCTTTGATTATTGAACAAAGACAAATACGACCTAAGTAATTATTTCGACACGATTGCGTTTATGTACAATTAGTAGTCAACGAACAACAATAATGTTTGAGAAAAGACTTGCAATATTTATCTAGTCTTTTCTTTTTCCATTTTATATCCTTTTTCTTTTCTCCATATATTTTTTTCTTTTCTTTTTTTTTCTTGCTACTCTTTTATCTTTCATTCGAAATATGAGCATGTTGAAGAAAACATAGTCCGTTATGATTATTCTCTAAATAATCCGTTTATCTATTTCCCTGCATACGCCTGATTGTCTCGCATGCTATTTTATCAATCAACAGAAACTTTTCACAACTTTTGTTCTCTGATATATTTATTTTTTTTAGACTTGATTTCTACATTTTAATTCTTTTTCACACGTCCACTCAATATGGGTAATAATCCTGCCGGACCAGGACTCAAATTAGGCAAGACACTTTCGGATGCTGATGTTATTGAATTATCAGCTTCGTCTGGTTTTACACCAGAAAAAGTGCGCGAATGGCATTCCGGTTTCATAGTATGTATTTCATATATTCTACATCTGTTTCCTTTTCACCGATCAAATCCAGCATCTAGAATAATTACTTGACTATCAATAAAATTAGTAATTTTACCTTTGCTTTAAATTATCAAATCATATTATGACAAGATATTTTCTATAATCTAACAATGTTCAAACTAATCTCATTAAATATCAATACATTATAGAGAAGCAAAAAAAAGAGATCAACTACATTTATGTCCTTTGATTTAAATAATCCGTTGTCGAGTCGTGATTTTGATTGTTTCCTAATACGTATGAAAGAGAATAATTACATGAATATTCTATCAAACGCAAGTGTTGCTATTGCCGAGATCCTCATTAGACTACTGTGAGAAAATTCAAAGCAAATGATATAAAAAGAAAAACCAAGACAAAAATACCTTGTCAAAAATGGTTATAATAAATAAAAATTTATATTGTTCAAGAAAAAGTCAAAAGAAAAGAGCATTTAACTAAGTTATTTATTTGATTTTATATTTTTTTCATTGTAGAAAGATTGCCCAAGTGGAAAATTGAATAAAAAGAAATTTGTTGAAGTTTATAAACAATTTTATCCAACTGGAAAAGCTGAAAAATTCTGTGAATATATTTTTCGTGCATTTGATAATGATAGTTCGGGAAATATTGGTACGTATTAAATTTATATACTTTAGGGAAAATTATTGATAGATGATGTATTGAAATTGAAAGTTCGATAAATTTTATTGTTATCCATTTAGATTTTTGCGAATTTTTAATCGCCATCTCGATCACTGCTCAAGAAGAACCCAAGAAAAAATTAGAATGGGCATTTTCAATGTATGGTATGTAATTGTAATATTTTTTTCTATATTTCAAGAATTAAAGTATCGTGTTTGCTTTTCTATTCATCAGATATTGACCGGAATGGTTTTATTGAAAAAAAAGAAATGAAAAAAATCATGGAAGTATGTCGAAAATCTTTAGTTCTTTTATTTATTTTTATCTGAATCTATTTCCTTTTCATCTTTGTTAAGGCAATTTTTGATCTTCTTGGTGAAGAAAAAAAAGGTACGAATACACCTCAGTTGAAAGTTGATCAAATATTTACAAGAATGGATGTTAATGGCGATGGAAAATTATCGAAAGAAGAATTTATTTCTGGTTGTTTACAAGATGATTACTTACGAAGATTACTTGCACCATCAGCTTCGTAGATTAGCTTAGATATCTGCTTAATCTATTCCTTATGATACTCGATTGGTTTCTTTATTTTTATTTAGTTTTTGTGTGTTTTATTCTTGTTCTTATAAGCATCCTTATATAAAAAAGAGAGGCAATACGAATTTATTCGATAAAAATTTATGTTTTTCATTTAAGAAAGACTACTGACATAGAACGGTGAGCGACTTCAGCTCTTTTTAGAAGTCTATTAATAATGAAAGAAGAAGAAAAAGAAGAAGAAATCCGGCTAGATAATTCAATAAAACAACAAAATAATGATTCATAATAGAAAGGATGAAAATTATAATTCGACATTTAATTTTTGTTCGTGAATCTCTATTGTTTTATTGCGATAATGAAAAAGCAGTATTCGATTTTAGAAATTTTAAATGTAGAATCCCGAGAAATAGAAGTTTTTATTGTAATCTGCTTATTTTAGCATTAAAACAGAATATCTTCGCTCATAATCATTTCAATACGGGAAGAAAGGTTTTTCTCTTGTTAATTTTTAGTTAACTGGCGGATGTTAATTTAAGGAACACGTAAATGCCTCGCTAAGAGAAACATGTGTCATGCATAACAGTATATTATTAAAGTAATAATGTATATACGTCAGTAAGCTTTCGGGTACAATATGATCTGCAATGCATGAAATGCGATGTTTGTGGATGACGTTAATGAGCATTTGTCAAATTCTTTTCTCCTCCAAAAAAAGAAAAAAACAGTTCCGAGTATTAATTAAAGGCTTCCCGATAATAATTATAATCTGCATATATATCTAATTAATATGTCAAATTGAGCGCATATTCTAGATGATCGACGTCTTTTGTAAAAAAAAATATTTAGATTTTCCCATATAAGAAATAAATAAACTTTTATCCGGTGTAATATAATGATTTAAAAAAGAAATTCGAATACATATTTAAGAATGACATTTTAAATTAACATATTCAAAAAGAAACGAAACTTGCGCATACGAAAAACTAAACTTAACAGGCTTCAAAAGCGATAGATACGAAAATAAATTAAATTCTTCTTCTTCTTCTTCGATACGGATGTCATTTGAAAAAGAAAGTAAGCCGCATTTTTCAATAAAATACGTTTCTTTTTACATTGGTTTCAGTTTGATTATAAATCATCACTCAGCATCTGCACAAACATTTTGACACTAAAAGAAACAGTGAAAATGAAAACCATTCTTGCTATGTCAATATGCGAAGACGAAGTGTGGTTGCAATGGATGCATATATGAAACAAACTTTAATAACAATATGGAGAATATATATTTTATCGAAGAAAAAAAAAGTTCACTTTGATGAAAGAGAGATCAAGTGTCTCTCTTGACTAGTATTAAGTATAGAAACGGAAGAAACTTTTCACATTCACATATGATTGGATGTTATGAATAAATAAAGAAATAGGTTTTTTTTTATCGTTTATATCAAAAACATTTGTTTGCAGAGAATTAGTTCTCTTGATTATTCGTTGATTTTGTTGTTGGCATCAGAAGTTTACGTATATGCCGATCATTCTGGCAAGCTTCTGCAAATTGTTCCTTTCCCAAATATCCTAATGAATCACATTTAGCTGTGGAAAATATATCATGAACTTTTGTGACAACTCTTGATGGATCACTAATATCAATGCCCATTAATTCATAAATTGACTAAAAAACACAAGAAGCATAATTTATGTCAAGAATATGACAAGTTAAATTTAAGATAAACGATGATTTTTTTCACTTTCACAACAACTTTCATCCTTCAAGTAATGGTTTCTATGCATGAATTACACCGATAAGTGCATCGACTGCATTTAAAGTTAAAAAACAACCGAGTAAACATGAAAAATGCATACCTCAACAAACGATCTCATTTCTTTTTCATCGATAAATCCATTATGATCAATGTCATACATTGCAAAGAAGAGTTCAATTTTTCGTGCGGGATCTTTGGATGATATTAAACTGACAGCAACAATAAACTCCATAAATTCTAAAAATCAAAATATTTATTTAGATTTTGACAGATCTTTTAAACTAAATCCCTACCTATATATCCTGAGCCATCTTTATCGAACAATTGAAAAGCATGATCACAGAATTTATTAACATGACCTTTCTTGTAATATTGTTGATAAATGTCAAAAAATTTATTTTTTGAAAGTTTGCCATCGGGACAATCACGCTAAGACGCAATAATAGAAAGATAAAAGCTAAATAAATCTGATTTTGACTTTATTAGTTTTGTGTACATACAAGAAAGTCTTCATACGATATGAGTATGCTTTCTTGATTAAGTCCTGTCTTATTCATTAGATAGTTAATATTATCACGGCTAAGTCCATTTGTTAGTGTTCTCCGTTGTCGACGATGCGATTTTTTTTTATGTGATCGAATTGAATTACTTCGATCACTGGTTAAATCTGATGTACTTTCGTCGTTGTCACGTAATGGAAGAGAAATCGACGGCTGATCGATAACTATATGAAAATCGTTTTCGAGTTTTTTTGTATTATCATTAATGTTATTATTATTAATTTCGAATATTTGTTTGTTGATTTTTTCTTGATAATACGGCGTCTTCCATTGTCGAAAATAATGAACACCGATTAAATACAATGATGGTAATATTGTAAACATGATAAGCAAAAACAAAAAGGTATCGGAAATATTATATTCTTAATAGACTATAGTTAAAATTTTTATTTTGAGTCATGTCGACGTCGTTGTTGCTGATGTTGTTCAAGTACTGTATTCTAGTTTCGTAATGCAAGCAAAAAAAGAAAATTTGTTGTGAGCACAATTTACCGCCTGTAAAGTTTTTTCTTTCTTTCTTTCTTTCTTTCTTTCAACAAAAATAATGACACTTATACGGTGGTATTCAATGTTGACGTGGCTGTCACAGAGCACATTGTGGCTGCATCAAAACACAACAAGAGAAAGAATGAAACAAGGCGGATGCATGTGTTTCTCTTTTCTTTTTTTCTTTCAACAAAAAAAGGAAGATGTTCGCTAGTGCGTGCTGCACGTTAAAAGGGTGCATCAAGTAATGTGAATAAAAAAACCAAAGAACAACTACAGCTAACTCAATATGAGTGACGGAAGCAAAAAAGAAAAGGTTCATGCTGATAGTTGAAAATATACTTTTAACCGTAAAAGCATTGTTTCTATTGTTACCGTATTCTATAGAGATGAATCAAATGTTTATGTAGAACTCTAAAAAACACGCTTTTAATTAAGTTGAATACGATCAAGTAGTCAAGTTAATAATGTCTATTTTTGATCTAGATAAAAGGAAGACTCATATGTTAGGAACACATCATCAATGTCAATATCAAAAGTAAAAATAATAAAATTATACACGTATTTTTATTTTCATAGAGCGTGCACATTCTTTTTAAACATTTGAATTCCACTTTTTTTAATAAAAAACAAAACAAAACTGGAATTTGACTTTTCTTGATAAGTCTGCCTTTTACTCCATTAATTTAATCCTATATGTTTTTCTTTGTCAGTTTTAACACAGAAAATAGTCAATAGTTCACTTATTAATTGTATATCATCGACATCAGTGAGCATAGTTGCATGAATTTGTATAACTATACAGCTATATGGCCTCAATTCATCAAGTGATTCTGGATGGACGTCTATCTCAATTAAATTTACTTGTCAATAGAATTGGTTGTAATGTAAATGAAAAAGACTCGTATGGTCGAACACCACTTCATTTAGCTGCACTTTCTGACCAAGAAAATTATGGGTATCAAGTAGCTCGTCTTCTTCTTCAAGGTAATGCTGATATAAATATAACTGATTTTCAACAACAAACGCCCCTTGTTTATGCTTGTCTACTTAATCGATCAAAACTCGTACAACTTTTATTACGAACAAAAGCAATTGATTGGAATATTATTGATCATGAAGGTTATTCAGTTTTACATCATGCAGCATCTTCATCACAAACATCAATACTCGGAGATATTATTCATAAAATGAAATTAATTGGCCTTTCAATTGACTGTACAACTGAATTGAATTATACACCCCTATTATTAGCAATAAAATCATTAAGATTTGATAATGCTATTTATTTTCTTGATCATACCGATGCATCACCATTTGCTATTGATGATGAATATCATTTTACATGTCAGCAATGGACACAACATGTCGGACCGAAATTAAATGAACGAACATATTACTGTCCAAGAAGAAATTCAGCATTGAAAAGAAATAAAAGTCTCGATAAAAAGTAATGATCATTTTAAAACAGAAAAATTCTTAATTTACTATTCTAGCATTCCAAATTATAAATTTTTTTATGGAATTGAATCACCTTATCAATGTAAAATGCTTCTATGCAATCATCACCATATGAAATCATTAGATGAAAGTACCTATACACCAACTGTTCTATTATCGCCGAGTAAAGATCGAAAATTAGTGGCATCATCTAACACTGCTCAAAATGAGAAAATTCATCTTAAACCGTCGCATCAATTATGGATGGAACTTGTACAAAGATTACATGATCGAACTTCAGCATTGCAACCTGTAATAAATGTAAATACTCATTCTAAATCAGAAAAACAACTACGACGAGAAAAATCATGGGCTGGCCATGATACTATGTCAGCATGGCATAACGAAAAGTTGAATTCAAATAAACAAGTTGTTACATTAATCAATCATTATTCAAATATGTTAACAAATGATAATCATGAAAGATCTACAGCAAGTTTTCATGATCGACCAAAAAGTATTTTACGTCCAAATGGAATGGCAAATAAAATTCGATTAGCAAAAGAAGTTACATTTGCAGCAAATTCACTATACTTATAATTTGTTCATGGTCAAAAACGAAATAAAAATCAGATGATTCTCTTTCAAATATGCACAATCCTTGGTTGAACTCAAATTTATGACGGTTTTCAAATAATGACACAAAACAAATTAAAAACGAAATTAATTTAAGAATTAATTAGTATATACGATTGATTATATTTAGTTTTCATTTCTTTTTAGCAGCTATCAAAGTTTTCTGTTTTTCCCAATGTTGGCAAATCGAACAGTCAAACAAGGAAATGATGTGATTTTAGACAGGTTGAAAAATTAAAAATTAAAAACAATAAACAAATCATGAAATAACGTCTTTATCAAATCAGATATTTCGATTGTGTTCAACATTTTTAAATATCTATACAATTTATCCAGAAAGTTTTATTTTTGTAAACAGACTCGAGATCAATAAAAGATTTTTATCGGACCTTTTCATTAGAAACAACAACTTTCAGATCTATAATTAGAAAAATAATAGAAAGCTATTGACACAATCCCATAAGAATAAATGTCAAACACGATGAAGATTAAGTCTTTTTTTTCTTCATAAAATGGAATTCATCAACAAATGTTTGAATCATTAAAAATCCTATTTGTTGTTCATGCATGTCGGTGAAGAAAGAAAATAAGCATTCTACATATGCCAGTCACTGTAATAGAAACACAAACAACAACAACAGCAACAAATGCCAATTTATTTTATCTCACACTACATAGTGTCATAATAAACTTGAATCTAGCACCTATATTTATCTGTAATTTAGTCATGATAAATCAACAGTGATATACAAGTACCTATTACAATAAATAGCCGAGAAGAAATATTGTAAAATTACACCGCTGTTCGGTCTAATTCTTGATAAAAATGAGATTTAGCAAAAACAAGTTTGAAGTTCCCTAGAGTGACTTCTGTTTAGTCGTAATAATAACTTGTCGAATCGTTTTGATGGAATGCAATCATATTGAAATACGAGAACCTTGAGCAATTCAATGAATGTTATCTTTCGAGACCGATTTCATTATTAGATTTGTCTGAGCCAAATAGTATCAAATATTAGTCATTGAACTATTGACGAAACGATTGACATTTTTTTTTGAATGATTGAAGAATTTGTTTTTTCAAATATTTTCTCAATTGTTTATGAATAATTTTGAGCGTATAAAATTAACAGCAGAAACTTTCAATGTCATTTGTAACTCTTTTAGGTTATATCTGCTGATGCAACTCTAAAATACCAAATTAAGGCTAGAACAGTCGTCGAATTTGCTTTTACTGTTCAATTAAAGTCCATAAAAAAAAGAAGATAAATCTTATTATCTTCTTTAAACTCATCGTTAGGTTATACTCAACTTAGCATGATCATTTTAATTATCTATGGTGAATCACGATTTTCACTTATTTTTCATGATGTTTAACTTACAGTTTTCTCGTTTATGTAATTGAACTATTTGGTTCATTTATTATTAATCAAAATTAATAATGCATCTCATCATATGCATATGATTCATTGATTTGAAATATTTTCAGTAGAAAGCAAAAAAAATAACTGAAGGAAGTACGACCTGAATCAACATCCATGTTATCTATCTTAATTTAGGAACTAAAAATAAACATAAATTATGCTGTGACTAAACTAGGAGACAATATTTTTAACATTATATTAACGGAAATCATTAATAAACTATATTATTCGCATGCAAATAAGCCCTTCAACACTAGTAACAAACAATATTCTTAGTATAGCTGGTCTTCTTGCTTTTTTCATTACAACACTTTTAAGATTATTTGAAAGAGTTATTTCTCATTAAAAAAAAAACAAGAATAAATAAGAAAATGTCATCTTGTCAAAACTGCTTTACATCATTTATAAGTGAAAAAAAAAGTATCGTTCAACAATCTTCTCTTATCATTCTATGCAAAGATATAATCAAGTTCTTCAATAGAGTAGAATCATCTCGATGAAGGAAGGCAATAAGGTTAGTCGTCGAGTCTCAGGATAAATAGATCGTGTCTTTCATCAAATTTAAAAAAATTCTGTCGAGTCAATAGCACTTCTCAAACTGTTCGTCACGTTGAGGTGGTTAACATTGATGCCTCCAGTTGATTTCCGCTACGGCAGAATATAAATAGCTGTAATAGTTCTGTTCTGTGATGCAAATCGACTTCCGTCTAACGTGTCTTAATAGTTGAATATAACTCAATTTACACACACGCACATCTAATTTTTATGTTGTGCATTTTTTGACCTTGAAATGACCAAGCAGTCTTAACTATCGCACGAACGATTGACATATAAGTGTGTGTACACAACTTCAACAATCTTTTTTTGTTCTCGATTGAATCAGATACAATCTATTCGCCTTCTTCACTCGTGTCTCTCTTAATGCCATCGAACTATCAACTTGATGTCGGATGTCTGTCATTTCAACATTCAATCTCTTCTTTCTCCTATTGTACATATGACCTTTTTTTTCCAACTGTACACATACTTTGTACATCCATAGAACAGAACTCGATCAATTAATAAGTGAACCCGAAAATTATTCTTTTCTAAAACCAGTAACATTGACATCCAATTGAGGATTGAGTGTGCAGTATCAAGGAACACGTTATGAGATCTAACATATTCATTACAGCTTCATCATGCAGACGCACGCTTCTCTTCATTGTATTATCGTTGCTTTAGTATATAGCTAGCTATATGTGTATATGCCTACCACTTGGGATCACGCGAACGAGAACGAAAGAACATTTTAATGACTGCAATTAGACATACTTGTTCAAATATACACATGTGTATGATGTTCATTTTTACCGCAAACAAGAAAAAGAAGAAGAAGAAGAAGAAATAAATCTAGACGTATTCCTATAACATAAAAGTGAGAAAAGACAAAGACGAAAATTTTTCTTTCAATTGTGATCGTTCACATCATATCGATAATCATTTAAATATTGTCAACATATTTGAAATTTGAGAATACATATTGTATAAAAAAAAACAAATATAGGTCAATCTTGCCTGTACAATAAAAGAAATTGAATGACCATTATAATCTCATTTCGATGTTTTACGCAATCTCATCAATAAAGAAACAGTCACTTGTCAATCTCGTACGATTTTTAATAGGATGTGTTACGTTTTCAATAAGTTTCAATCATATAAATATATATTTTATGTATATATTGAAAAAAATCTGCTAGATAATGAGAGGTAAACGTTGAATTAATGGATTGTCATTTATAATGCTTACTGTGACCATGAATTGTCTTAACTTTGATTGAATCGTATTCATTAATACAAGTATTGAGCAAGAGTCTCTTTCTTATCTCCTCCTCCTTCTTCTTTTTTCATCATCTTGTCGTTCTTACTATTTGGATCTTTTTTTTTTCTGTTCTCTGAATCTTTCTTGTTTCTCTCGATCGTCTCTAATTAGCGACGAAGAGATGCTTTGACTTTCGGTCTGAGTTACAACAGCCTACAGCTTGCCTTCTTTCCCCCATTCGTTTATTTATATTTTCTTATTCCACAAAGTTTATTTGTCTTATTAGACCCTAGACACAAGGCAAAGCAGAGAGAGAGAGAGAGAGAGAGAGAGAGCACATAAGAAGGACAATCAATATATTAGTAGACGACCACAACTACTATTATACTCTTCTAAATAGCCGTATATTTGCTTTTTTAATAGCATATGGAGTGTTCATATTACCTTCTTTGTTTCTCTTGTTTTATTTTAGCTTACTCAGTTTGATTGCACACGCTTTCTCTAATACATATTATGATCTTCTATTTAACATATCATATGATGTTAATTGCCAATACAAAACTCGATTGAAAATGAAAATCATCATTAGTTTCTTTATCTTTTTTGGTATTTATCAACAAGGTAAAATAGATAATTCCGCATTTTTATTCTATCAGGAAAAAAAACAGCAATATATATATCTATATAAACATGTAAACAGATCAGATAGCTTCATTTGCATATTCAGACATAATTAGATAAAACCAATGAATAGCTTTTATCGTAACGTAATTCTAACAAAATGAACTAAAATGTTATTCATTAAGATTCTATTTGATGTCTAAACATATCATCATCATCATATTCTATTTTTTTTTATTCGTGACACTTTTGATGATCTAAATGTATTCATATATAAATATATAAAAAGCTGAAACTCCCCATAGATTAACTATACGAAGTAGAAGACAGCTGTCTAATAGAAATAAGAGCATAATTATGTATTAAATATATAATCTGATTGAAAGTTTTTATTTTAGCTTTTTGTACAATACATTATCCTATTGGACCGAGTTTTGTGTCGGCAATAACAACAAAACAAAAAGTTTATTATAATAATAAAGGTATAAGACTTGACTGTTCAGCTATTGGTAATCCATCACCTATATTAACATGGTTTCGAATGAATGGTAGCGATGAACAATCATGGATATATGTTCAATCGTCAGAATTCATGTGAGATATCTTTCACGCAGAAAAATTCGCCAGAACTATTGTTTTTCTTTTTGCTCTAGTGACCTGTATGATAACGGTAGTTTATTTATTCGTCCATTTCGAGAATATTTCAAACCAATTCACGCCGGCTCATTTATTTGTCGAGCAGAAAATGCAGTTGGTAGTATACAAACATTACCAATACAAATTAAACCACGTAAGAATAATAAAACAAAATCACATCCAAATCCTTCATCATGTTTTATGTTGTAATTTGATGTTCATATGATCAAGACAACTATGTGTCTGATCTTAAAAGCAACTACTCAACCACTCCTAGTCAACTTAGACTGACATATGCTGCTAATAAATCGTTTTAGTAGCCATAGATTATCTTTTTCTTTTTCATCACTCACTGGAAATCAAGATGAACATAAGTATGTCTACCAAAGAAATTCATTTATTGACAAGTGTTAACGCATGACACTATGTTTACATGATTATCGCTGTGTGAAAATTTTCTTTCTATGCACTTAATTGATTGAACAAAGAGAAGACTCAATCGTTTAGCACTATTTAATACCAACACTACATTCTCCATATTCTGTATTTAATAGGCAAGAAAAACAAATTAAAGAATTAATATGTGCGCACGTTGCAAGGTCATATTAACATATTATAATCTACTGAGAAAATCATTTCAAGTCGTTAATTGCTTTTAAGAGAAAATTGCACATAACTAACTGACTAGTGAAATATGAAAACATTTCAAGTTGATAAGTATTATATAGTTACTCTAGATCAAAATTATGGATAGATATAAGTGTGCATAATTGTTTATGGTTCTTCTGGGATCGCGTCTATCTTATCGATGTCTAGCTGGAATATACGAGTCATGACATTATGATATTCGATGCAAGCTTTACATTACCATAAAAGATATCCTTGCCATAGAAAAAGTATTCGTTCTAGACCTAACTACGTTAAAATATTTACCATATCAAATTATATTCCTATTGTATTGAAATTATAGTCTAAGAGATACTCTATCGAAATCGATATAGAAAAAAAGGAGAATGAGTACAAAAAAAAGAGCACATAATAATTTCTTATTTCATTTATCTGTATATAAGCCGTTTCTAATACCAAAACTTTAGTGAAATATATATGTAATAGAACCTGAAATTGAAAAGATCTAATCATCGATAGAGATTCTATTCTAAGTTTTGAATAATTTTTATTCTTTTTCTTTTTTTTCTAGAAATCTATGATACTTATGAAGTAGAAGTAAAAAATCCATTTGGGTACGAACAATCATCTGTTATTATATCATGTGAAGTATCTCCACCGTCTGCTAGTTCCTATGTAAATGTTATAGGGTGGCTAGAAAAGTCTAATAATCAAATAATTCAACTTGATTTAAGTAAGTTTATCAAGAAAAAAATACTGAAGATCTAATATATGCGAATTCAATTAATATAGAACCCAAAACCAAATACAATATATTAGCAAATCAAAATTTGATTATTCATAGCTTGAAAAGATCTGATGATAATCGAAGTTATGCTTGCATTGTAAATAACGATATTGATAATCATACAAGACAAAGTCGATTTAAATCATTACGTGTTCGAAGTAAACATTTGATTGTTGTTTTCTTGTTTAAAAAAGAAAAACATCAAAATTTTAGATCGTTCACCATTTGGACCTGAATTATATATGAAAAATCATACAGAATATCAAGTACAAGTCGGGGATACTATTGAATTACCTTGCGGTATAGCATCATTATCAATAAATGCTCCAATTTCATGGTTGAAAGATGGAACAGAAATAGCTGCTGTCGAAGAAAAAATTTATAATAATTCCTTAATTTTTGAGATTTCTTCTTCAAAGGATTCCGGAAATTATGTATGTCAAATCGACGATGAATCTATTGGACGAATGACATCAACGATGACAGTAAAAGTTAATCGTACGTTATTACCTATTTTTTTAATAATTTAAAAAAATAAAAATCTTTCAGTTCCCATTCAATGCGATATAAATTTTGAACAAAAAACTATTAATGCAGGATCAGATACAGAATTAATTTGTAGAATCAATGCGATAAAAAATTCACCTATTCAATGGCATTGGTATCATAATTCTAATTTATTATCAAATCAATTAAATCAATATATGATTATCAATGCTACAAGAGAACATATGGGAATGTATCAATGTTGTTCTATTTCAAGTTCATCACATTCAAGTAGTTGTTGTGCTCAAACACAAATTCGAGTTATTAGTAAGTCATTTAATATCGTTATAATTTATAGAAGACAAAAATTAATATTCACTAAAACAATTTCATTATTTAGATTCACCTCCTTTTATTCTTAAAGATCGACAAACAAATTCAGACAATATTATTATTTTACCAGAAATCGTTCTACACAATTCAATCGATCTTAATTTTACTATCTATGCTGATCCAATACCAGAGATAAATATATTTAAAGATGGTCAAATATTAATACGAAATTATTCAATTAACTATCAAACTTCTGGCGATATTTCTCTTCACTATTCAATTTATATATACAATATAAGCAGCACAGGCCTTTATGAATATGTAGTAGAGAATTCTTTGGGCTTAATTTCTCTATCAAAACATATCAATATCGATAAACAAAAACCATTTATTCAACCACTAAGAAATCTAACTATTCGAAGCGATGAACAATTCACACTTACCTGTTATGGATCAGGTCAACCGAATTTACAGTTACAATGGATTGATCAAAGCAATAATCGGATAGTTAATACTTCATCGATATCTCCAATTCTGTTTACATCAACAAATACAAAATCAACTATTTATGCGTGTCAAGCCATAAATCCATACGGTAGAATATCTTCACAATTATTTGTAACAATTAAAGTTCCTGCAAAAATCTTATCAGTCACATCAAATCAAACAGTTATAATAAATTCAAAATTCAAAATCAACTGTCTCGCGGAAGGTGATCATGAATTAGAATTAATATTAAAAGATCCTTTGTTAAATAAATTAAATACAATCGAAAACAGATCTGAAAATAAAAAGAAGCTATCATTCATGTTTGATAATATACAAATGTCTGATAGTGGTTTATACGAATGCTATGCTAATAATAATTATTCAGAAGATTATTCAATATTTGAAATTATTGTACAAAATGTACCAGATAGAATCGAAAATATTTTTATTGGAGATTCTGAAGAAATTTTTTGGATGAAACCGTTTGATGGAAATTCAAAAATTTTAAAATACATTCTTCGAATGCAATCAAGACAAGGTGAAAATATTAGATCATTCGATTTCTGTTAATTCATTTTCATTGAATTTAGGTTTATTATGGTCAAATGAATCGATGATTATTATTGATGATAGTGATGTAACAAATTATCGTTTTGAAAATATGTTTTCTAAATGTATGATTTCCCTAACAATGCAAGCAGTTAATGATATTGGATCATCGTTACCTAGTGAACCGATTCATTTTCAAACAAATACTAAACGTAAATATTTTATTTTTGCATCCATCATGTTTTATTTTGTTTTGTTTTAGAATTAGAAATTGCTCCATATAATCTAACAGCAGTTAGTATCTCTTCGAAGAGTTTGGTATTAACATGGCAGGTACGTAAACATACTCGAATACTAAGTAGTTTTATTCAAGATTTTTTGCCTATAAGTAGAATACACTAATGAAAAGTGAGAATATACGTAACGAATTACATGTAATCATTTAGATTTAGTAGGTATATCTATCAATGATTTTATGAAAGTAGAAGAGATAATAAAAACTGGTAGATTGCAATTAGAGTCTATCATAATTATATATTCGTAAGGAAATGTTCGGAAGCTACCAAGATGAGAGATCGACGTCTCTGACCTTTTCCATTTTCTTGTTTTGATCACACAAAATCGTTTAGTTTTTATTTGTGAGAGCGGGGTAGTTTTTTTTTCTGGATGATGAGCGAGCTCGATTGATAAGATCCATCTGCAATAGTTGATATAAATCAAGAGGTAATTGTATTGAGACGATAAACAATTTTATATTGATTGTTTTAAGCAATGAAATATTTGGAATTCAATATTTTTAACGTTTAGTATCCATCATTTCATGCATGTGACGACTCATTCATGAACTTTGTAATTGAAATCAGTGATCAATACAATCAAACTATGATCAAAACTCATAATTATCATTCAACAGTATTTACTATTAGTCAATTAAGAAGTGTTACATTTTATACATTCGTTATTTATGCAGTCAATGAATTAGGACCGAGTCCGAAATCAAAACCATTAAAAATAAAAACACCAGAAAGTGGTAAATAAAGAACAATGAATGATTGGAAAAAGAAAACCAATGTTTTTCTCGTGTTTTATTTTAGTTCCACTTGCTATGATAGCCGATTTAACAGCAACTTTATATAATAGTTCTACTGTTTATATTACCTGGAACATTCAGCAAGATGAGTTTCAATATCTGAATGGAAAATTTCGAACATTTGCTGTAACAATTTATGAAAATTTGAGTAAGAAAATGAATTAAAAAATATGTCTAGAAAAATCAATAGTATTTTTTAGATATGTCAACATTAACAATTGTTGAAACAGTAAAGACAAATCTTGTACTTCATAATCTTCATTCATCATCACAATATTACGTATCAGTAGTTGTTTGTAATTATTTTGATTGTGGCTCATCATCAACTTCGATTGATGTTATAACACCATTAGCAAGTATGTGATAAGATTCCTATCTATACTTAACTGAAAGTGTCGAAATGCGCACGTTCAATCAATCATTAGTAATTAAATCATAAATAAAGCCTACCATATTTATAGCTTCTAACAGCATTTATTGGATCTTCAGTTTGATGTCATTCAAATTTTCGAATAGTTGACTAGATTAAATTCATAGAGCATAGTTTCAGTATAGAAGACGTTTTCAATCTCACATTCAGCACGCTCTATTAAGATTTCAAATAGCCTACAAGATTTCTTTTCCGAATATTAATATTAAAAATTTGCAACGAATACTTGTTCTAACATAAGAGAAACTGGAACTTTTCAACACATCCTAGTCTCGTTTTAAACTTCACTTATATAGCTATAGAAAAAGATCGAAAAGTAAGCACCATCGTGCCAGTGTTCAAGAAAATCGAATGGTGAATGTTTGCGATAGCAAAAAAGTGTCAATGAGATATTTCGAAAATAAAATTCTGAAATAATCAAATATCATTTGATGAAATATCTCCAGTAGATAACAGATAAGATATGCTAATTTCTATTTTTTAAATTAATTTCTATTGAAGTTTTCGATACAACGACAACGATCATGCATCCAATTAACAAACCACTCATACTGAATTGTCCATACGCAAACAACAACTCTTTTAATTCTACGTATCCAAAAGTATCGGAAACACATAGTGAATATCAATGTGGATCAAAATTAATTCACATTCAATACTATGGTATATCCGAAGTAGTTTTTTCTGGAATTAAAAACTTCTATGAATTTTTCTAGATAAACCATCGTCAATCCGAGTAAACATTCATTATACAACACCAAATGAAATTGGTTTAAAGATTTTTTATCCACTAGAAATAATTGAAATTGTTACAATAACCTATAAGATAAAAGATCATTCGTTTATGAATGAATTAAATATATCTCCGCCATTAACAAATATTCGTTTAACAAATCTTTCTTGTGGAAATATTTATGAGATAATGATCTATACTAGTAATCAAGTTGGATTTAGTACAACGGAATATATAATAGCAAAAACCGATGGTTCAAGTAAAGTTTTAGTAGAAGATTTGTTTTTTCAACTCTTTGCATCATAGTAAAGAAGAAGGAAGTTGGGTCAGAGCTCATTGAAGTACTTCATCCTAGTAAAGATCATTTCGAAGATAGACCTGTGAGACTCGAATTAGTTTATTTACATTTACAGTGAGTGTGACAATTAACGTTGCTATAGCGACAGCTAAAGCGTATTTATACATCAGATTTGATTTTCTTGTGAATGATTTCATTAAGAAGATTATGTTGATGAAGATTTCAGCTGTCATAGAAAACATATCGTAGATAAAAATCGATCGGCATCAAAGACTTATTAGCTATTCAGTTAAATCAATATTTTGGATGAAAAGCATAATAAAAGCTTTTTTTTCTACTTGATGCATTATGTATACGCTTGATGAAACTATACAAGTTAAAACACATAGAAGACTTCATTGGCAAATTTGTTTTCAACTATAAACTAATTTTTGTTTCTAGCTCCTTCGTTATATCAATCAAAAGATTTAATTCGAGCTGTTTCAAATAATTATATCATTCTTGACATGGCTAAATGGATCATTAATGAATGTCCTATTTTATCATTTGAAATAGAAATAATACCAATAAAGAATTCAGATGGAAATAATCTTAATCGATATTTTTCATTCAAAAATGAATTAAACGAAATCAAAATTGATCATCTTCAACCCGAACATGATTACCAATTAAATATTAAAATTAATAGTCAACCTGGTGAAAATTTTCAAATTATTTCTTTTCGAACAGCAAAAGATACTAATCGAATAAGTATCAAATATTCACAACGTATTTTTCTTGTTCTGTTAACAATGATTTTATTTATGTTAACATTGCTTTTCGTTTTCATTCTCGTAAAACTTTGTGAAAAACGTTGGATGAAAACAGGTTTGCATTGAAAATTTTTGCAAATTCAAACTATTTATTTTATATTTAAAAATTTAGAATCATTTATCCATCGAAATGTAATGTTAAAACCTACTCTAAACTCAACATACTCAAATAGCAATGATCGACATCAACCGATGTGGTCTGAAACAGAAATTGATTTTACCATTGAAAACTATACAAATAAAAATCGATCAACTAGTTTTACATCAGGTATTTGGGCAGCACGTTTTTTTTGTCTAATTTTTATTCTTTGTATTTTATAGAAGATTCTCAAGGTAATATAAATCCATATGCAGTTACTGGTGATACAGTAAATCATAAATATAAGTATGATCATTGTCAATTGAGTGATACAGGTATGATTTTATTTCTTGTACATAAATAATTTATATATAAAACAAATTCTACGTTCTAAAAGTCAAAGATAATCTCTATTGCTATTCATCAGATACGACGTATTATTTTATTATCGTGTAGATCGTCACCCATCAACAACGTCTTCGGAACGATATTTTCGTCCGATTATTCTCGAATCTTCATTGTTCAACGATCAAAATTCATCAAATCCGTGTCCGCGTCCAATAGAAAAACATTCATTGACAAATATTCTTTCAGCAGTCTCATCGTCTGAAAGCAAACTTTTCTCTGCTTTCGTCTATGTTTCAACATCGAAACCTATAACAAAAAAAATGTCGAATAATGATCACAGTTTATCATCAGCAGACTCTGGTGTTCATTCATCTTATACTCAAAGTCCTCGATGTCAATTACATCATTTTTCATACGATCATTCGTTATTATCAAAGCAAGATAATCCATTATACGCAACATACGACGAAACATTCTCTGAACAAATCAATCTTGACTCGTATAGACGACAAAAATATTCATTAGTTTAAATTTTATAGTCAATTTTAAACAGTGCAATACATTGTATTATTATTTTTTTTATATAAAAAAAATACAAATAATAAAAATTAGAAAAAGAACATTTGAATAATCAGGTATGGAACTTTTCGAGGATATTGTCGTAGTTATTTGTTTTGTCGATGGTCTAGATCGAATATGACTTGATAATACTATTGAAATGGGAAAGGAGAAAATTATCCAATAAGAAAACGTCAATAAAATGTTAATTATTTACCAATTTTTTGTCTTCTTAACGAATGTGTAGTTAATATTCGCACTGTAGTCGCTTCATGATCGGATTTAAGATTAAAATCAATAAAACCTAAATAATAAAATGGTAAACAGAGAGAATTTGAAATTCGTTTTATACTTGAAATATCAATTAATTTTTCTACTGTTCCAATTGAATTATTACTTTGACAATAATAGAGTACATTTGGATATTCATTTGAAAATACTGAAAATGATAATATTGACGATAGATTATTAGTTTTCACAGTATAAAAATTATAATCATTGATTTCTTGTCGATTATCATCAAGCCACGTAATCAACGGAGTTGGATTTGCATCTGATGAACATTCAAGAAAAACATCAGTACTTCGTAAACCAATTAAGGTTCGAACATTAATTGTGACTTTCGGTGGATCTAGAAGAATTCATATTTAATGATTGGATAAAAATAATTATATTCAACTTACAATAGACATCAATATGAACTACTTTTGATATTCGAGTCGATTTTTCATTGTCAGCAATACACTCGATTATTTTCGGATCATACCTTGTATAATTTACCAAATGAAGTTCACATTTTGTCGCTTGGCAAACAGTGCCATTGCTTACTGTTAAGATTAAAATCATTTTTTTTAAATAAATGTTTACATTCGATTTTCTATTTACATGAAATCAGTTTACCATATGCAGAACAAGAAAGGCGAAAAGTTGAACCTTCAAGAACACTTCGTTGTTGTGTAAAATTAGTATCATCCATAAATTGAGTTGGGACTATATTTCAAATAAGAGGATTTATTTAGATAAGCCGTTTTTGCTTCTTTTGCATTATTTACTAATAATGAAAAAGTCATATTCAGCAAAGCAGCCATTCGTAAAGGACGTATATAAGAAGAGTAGAGTTCCTAGAATTTATTCTTTTAAAAACGTTTCTATAAATTTCAAAACAGATCTATATTTATGTGAAATTATTTTTCGCTCTAAATTGATCTTCAGTTCGAACTAGGGATGCACCAGTACCAGTATTATACTGGTCTACTGGTCCAGTAAATACTGGTTTTCTACTTTCGAAAATAACTATTAGCTAAATGAATCCTTTTATCAGCCATCACTTTCTTTGTCTATATTCAAGTGAAAAATTGAGTTTTTCCGCATTTTGAAACAGTATAAGATATTCTATACTCAACTAGCTGATAACATTATATGGGTGTGGGTGTAAATCTTTCCTTAATATAGTCACCCACACCCACACCCACATCCATATCTGTTGCATTAGTTTATGTATATAAGTTGCATAGCTAAAGTTAGACCTTTTTTTGTTCACGATATCGGATATGGAACCGATAATACATATATTAAATGAAAATTACAGCACGGTCAACAAGCAATGTCACTATTACCTGTTCAATTTTGTAACGATACCAATAGTTTGATCGAATCTTTTAACTTGTGTAATCAAAAATACTGCCCTTAACTCTTTATCGTTTTGGATTTATACTTACAAGTTGAACCTAACACATCAATATAGTAGTTTTATTAGTATTGAATAAAATCAGTGCATAAGTTGCCTCGTATCAATAGTATTTTCTTATTCAATACTAATGCATGTGACAATTGTCATTGTTTACAACGTATACATTTATTGTTTTCTCCATTGACTGACTTTTAGTGCTATATAATATGTTCAATATAGATTTTTGAGCACAATTTCTTTTTTTTACCCTGGCTATGACCTGAATTAAGGATTTTTTTTTCTTCAAAAACGTTGAAAACTATTGAAAGAAGTTCTATATAATGTTATCAGCTAGTTGAGTATAGAATAACTTATACTTTTTCAAAATGCGGAAAAACTCAATTTTTCACTTGAATATAGACAAAGAAAGTGATGGCTGAGAAAATGATTCATTTAGCTAATAGTTATTTTCGAAAGTAGAAAACCAGTATTACTCGTCACCAGTATACTGGTACTGGTGCATCCCTAAAACATAGGGAGAGAGAGAGAGCCTAGACGGATAAATTTGGTGTGTTTCATGGTCTATTTCTTATTCTTATTGGGGCAATATCCTTTTGAAACGTCATGATAGAGGACTGAAAATTTTGCCATAGTTTCTTCTCTAGAGTTGCAAAGTTTTATTAGAATTTCATGGCATTTAACATACTTGAGTCAATGTGGCTTTTGGGGGGAAGAAGAGCCTTAGATTAACTTTGAATTTTTAAAAAACATTAACGCATGCTTGAAGAAAAATGTGCATAATGCAGAGACTATCTAGAGTCTAATCTGCCTGGAAGATAGATGCCACGTTGTTTTTCTTTTCTTTGTTAGCATCGAATGTCTAGACAGTTTATATGAAGAAAAACACCGCGCTGAATGTATACAGCCATTTCCATCTCTTATATCGACAACAAGAGACATTTTTACCAGTGTTTCACCTGTTTCGTCCCTTCAACTGGCTATTATGACACTATTCAAACGTCATACTAATACTTCATTACTTCTTGATGATATTTTTTTCTTATACTGATACACGATTCTACGAGATTGTCAAATGAATTGTAGGTGAAAGTGCAGCAGAATTGCTTAAAATACAATCTAGGGCGTGGGTGTATTTTCGATAGAATAGATTCAAAGCATCATAAGATATTTCGTCCATGCCTAAGGAACTCATCAGGTAGTTTCTGAATCCACAACTACATTCAAAACAATATTCAGCGAAATATCAAAAGGCACGATAAAAATTCGAAGTTTTCGACTAATATAAAGGATGTGGGTGAGGGTGAATAAAGTAAAGACCACCACACAACACCCACACCCTTCTCAGTGCATCTGGTCGACCAACGGTGCATTGAAGTTGACCGTTGATCCAACCACGAATTGTGCCATCGATCAACTACCGCTGTATCCGGATTGGCATGGCTTAGCACGACCAAATGTCTTGATGTTTGGCGATTGAAGCAATTTTGAACAACGATCCAATGAGCAACACCATCATTATGAACAGTTTGAAAAATATGTAACAAGTGCGAAGGCGAAATTATTGATCGTCGAACTAGGGGTTGTTATCGCTCTTCCCACCATTCGAATAAAGAGCGGATACACATTCATGAATCCTAACTGGTCGCCTGATTTCATCCGCATCAATCCATTGGTGGAACATGCGACGATCAGTGTCTCGCACCGAAGACAAAAGCAAAGGACAAGTGCATCAATTGACTCTGGATGCATTGATAGCTCTGACCCTGATTGATAAAGCGATGAAGAGGAAGTGAAAATGATAACGATCTCCGACTTTTTTTTATTGATCTACGCTCTCTGGTGTCATATCCTGATCTTTGAAATAGCAGAGCACCAATAAAATATTCATGAATTATTCAGTCCCAATGGACTTTCGAAGTTAGGGGAAATGATTGAAGAAGGACTCAAATGCTAAGTTTCTGAGAAGTTATTGAGCGCATTTTGCAGGTATCAATGAGCCCTCAAAACTAATACCTTGCGCTCTTACATTTATGTAGTAATTTGCTGAGACATTTAAGAAGATCATCTTATTGTTTTGTTCACAAGGAGCTAGCATTATTATTATTATTAGTCAAGGAAACAGAATAAGGATCAAACAGAAATGAAAATTGATGGGGAACGAAATGCTCAATGTACCCAAAATTTTTTCTATTATTTAAAAAAAATATTAAAAGAATAAGATAAAAATTAAAATTTATATGCCGATTTACCACTCTTCACTCTAAATGTGCCAACGAATTGACTCTGAATTTTCTAATATGTTTCTCTCCCTATAGCGAAAATAAAATTCATTTTATTTTAAAAAATGACTCATGATTATTAATGATGAAGAATCTCTAAGGTTTCAACGATAGTTTACGTGCTAATATAACAGTAATCCATTTATGTTCATCGTTCCATATATGTTCAATGATAAAACCAGTAATATTAAGAAGCATATTAATATCCTCGATACTGAACTTATAACTATCTATCATATTAATCGTTTCACCTTTGTCAAAATGAAGAGTTTTTTCTCCGAATTGATCAATACACTTCACTTGTTGTGAACATAAACTTTGAAGATGCTGTTCCACCGAACAGTTATGCTCGTTCCATACAGATTGATAACGAAATTGATCAAGATCGAAATTATAACCAAATTCCCGATTCAACCGACGTAGAACATTGAACTGAAAATCGGCAACAACACCATTTTTATCATTATAGGCAGATAATAATACAGAAGGATCATGACACATATCAACACTAAGTAACAATACATCTTCCGCTTTTAATTGTTCATAAACATGATGAAGAATGCTTTTTGCTTCCTCTTTAGAAGAATTTCCAATGGATACACCAATATAAATAACAAGTGTACATCCATCAAAACTTGGAAGAACAAAATCATCTGTAGCATAATTTTTAACCTGTGGCATTACACATACATCGGGAACGAGACACTTTAAATTTGATTGAGCTTCATGAAGTGCAGTTGTTGATACATCAATAGGGAAATAATTAATAGGACCCCTCTGATACTTTAGAGCAGCTTGAAGAAGAATACCTGTCTTCGTAGCTGTACCAGATCCAAGTTCAACAATACGAAGACGATTCTTTTCGTTACCTGCTGCTTTCACAATAATATCATCAGAATTTAATTCGAAAATACGACGTTCTGCTCGTGCAATATAATATTCATCTTGAAGAACGATTTTTTCAAATATAATTGATCCTTCATCATCATAATGAAGCCATTGAAGATTCGATATGCTTTTTGGTCGATCACTTAAACTTAGGCATGCAACGAGCCCGAACTAGCGTTCGGAAGTTCGGTGCGAACGGTTCGAGGCTCGGGTTCGAGTTCGAGTTCGATTTCATTGTTCAAGTTCGGGTTCGGGTTCGGTGAGTATGAGTTCAGCTCGGACCCGGTTCGATGAGTCTGAGTTCGGTTCGGGCTCGGTTCGATAAATCTGAGTTCGGTTCGGGCTCGGTTCCGGCACGAGTTCGGATTGCGATTCCTACATGAATAAACCCACCGTTGGTTATATCGTTAAAGGAGCGATAACTAACAGAGAATGTTGTTTTTAGAGGAATTGTTCAGCTGTAACGAGACAAGGAGACTAGTTGCATGTGAGGATTGATTAATCGACTTCATGTCATCCTCACAAAACAAAACAAGAGGCCAAGCTGGAATTCAAGCATTACTCAAACTCTTTCGCTAAAATACATCGTTTGCACTGTAAAATCCGCTTTAAACTGTATCTAAAACGACCACTATCGTTCCAATCTATCTCTCGGTTTTGTAAAATATAATACTCTTCCCAGATATACAATGATATATTAAGATATGACAAGATTTTGCACTGAATCTTATATGACGTTGTACAATTTTCTGGTGACTTTATTCATATTGCAAGCAGGGACGGCGTGAAGCAACAAAAATATAGGGAGGTTACTTGAAAACGGGAGGTTTTTTTTCAAAAATCGGAGTAAAATTGAAACAAAAATTTCCAAAGTTGGGGGAACCCCCCCCTCCAACCAACCCGTTCGCGCCGTCCCTGGATGAAGGATGATATTTTCATCCGAAACGCTAAGTTAAAGGTGAAATTAAAAATAATATATATAATAAAAATTTTATCAGGAGCAGGAAACATAAATAACTTTAATATATCAAAAACCTTCCTTAATCGGACACAGTATCTTGTTGTTGTTTCGAAAGGGATGTATGTTGGTGACTGGTCACAAACAGGATTCGGAAACGA